TCGCGACACCCCACGTCACCCCCAGGATCACCAACGCCGCAACGAGCAGCGGCAGGCGGGAGAGGAAATCGTCGAGCATGCCGGACAGGCTCTCGACAACCGTGTTAAGGGCGTCGTCCACGCTGCGGATCTTGGGCGTCGGGACCTCGGAGTTTTCGCTGGTTGGGTCAGACTTCTGCGCCAGGATCAGTGCGATCATCGCCCGCTTTCTGGATTGCGTGTGGTTGGTTGCACACCACCATTATGGAGCTGGCGGCCGGAACGCCCACCCGTGGCGCGGAAGCGGCCGAGTGTTGCACGGGAAGTGACCAGGCTGGACGAGGGGCGCCCAGTCGCGAGCGCAGGTGTGAGCTTTCATTCGTGAACAAACCGCAGGCAGACCGGGGTCGGCGCCTGAATCGGCTCTCCGACGGGTTGGAGTGCTCCCGAATGCTGGTCGATGCGGAACACGCTGATGCTGTTGGAGTCCTGCCCGCACACCAGCAGGTACTCGCCAGTCGGGTCGATGCCAAAGTTGCGTGGCGTCCGGACTCGGGTCGGCGTGTGCCCGATCGGGGAGAGTTTGCCGGAGTCGGGGTCGATCTCAAAAGTGGCGATGCTGTCGTGGCCGCGGTTCGACCCGTACACAAACCGGCCGTTGGGGTGCACGTGCACGTCAGCGCAGGATCGTGGGCCGTCGTAACCCGGGGGGAGTGTGCTCTGCAAGTCGAGCTGAGACAGGGTTCCCGCTCCCGCATCCCAGGCGAGGGACGCCAGCGTGCAGCCTAGCTCGTTGATCACCAGCAGCAGGCGGCCATTGGGATGAAACGCTAGGTGCCGTGGCCCCGAGCCGGCCGGCATCGAGAACGATGGCGGGTGATGAGGCGTGAGCTCGCCGGTTTCCTGGTCGAATCGGTAGACGTGCACCTTGTCCGTGCCGAGATCCGCCGCGAGCGCAAACCGGTTGGTGGGGTCCGTCAGGATGCAGTGCGCGTGGGGGCTCGCCTGCCGCGACTCGTTCACGCTGCTGCCAGCGTGCTGGCGCCGGCTAACGAGAAAACCAACCTCTCCACCTTGGGTGACAGCCAACGATGCGACCGTGCCCGCCCCGTAGTTGGCGATCAGCAGAAAACGCGACCGCCCATCCAGCGATACGTAGCACGGACCGCCGCCGGCGGTAGCCGCCGCGTTCTGCTGCACGAGGTGGCCCTGGCCGTCGACAAGGTACGCGACGACCTTGCCCGTGCGTTCTCCCTGAAACTCACGGACCTCGCCCACCGCGTACAGCCGTCGGCCGTCGGGCGTGAGCGCCAGGAATGACGGGTTGTCGGCCTCGGCGAGCAACTCGACTCCCCCCGCCACTTTGTCGCCGTTGACCGTGGCGCGCAGCCGATAGATCCCGCGGCTCTGCTCAGCGGTGTACGTTCCCACAAAGGCTGTTAGCCGCGTCTCTGAGGCGGGCAAATCTCGCGTGCTCAACGCAAGGACCGCGACGCAGCAACCCAGCAGGTAGAGAAACTGTTGCGGATCGCATTGGGTGGGTGGCGTCACGGTTGACATCCTGCGGGGCGTGGAGGCGAGGGTAAAGGTTAAACAGAGAGGGGCGATTCCGCCGTGGCTATTAGCTCTTCGCAGGGACGGTGGCCCGTGTGGCGCCGGTTGAGATGCCCCCGTCGACCAGCAGTGTCTGCCCGGTGACGTACTGGCTAGCGTCCGAGGCCAGGAAGACGACCGCGCCGCGGAGGTCACCCGGCTCGCCAGGACGGCGGAGCGGGATGCGGTCGACCAAATAGTCCAGCCACTCCTGATTCTCGTACAGCACTTTGTTTTGTTCGGTGCGGAACCAGCCCGGCGCGAGGCAATTGACGGTCACCCCGTGGGGGCCCCAGTCGTCGGCCAAGCTCATGGTGAGCTGCTTTACACCGCCGCGGCTCGCGCAGTATGGCCCTAACCCCGCGTAGCCGGCCACCGACGTCACCGAGCCGATGTTGATCACCCGCCCGTAGCCCCGTTGGACCATGCCGCGGCCGATCGCCTGGGCGACGAAGAACGTGCCGCGGAGATTGGTGTCGAGCACCAGGTTCCAGTCGTCCCAGCTCACGTCCAGCGCCGGCTTGCGGACGTTGCAGCCGGCATTGTTCACCAGGATGTCCACCCGACCGCACGCCTGCTCAGCGGCCTCGGCCATCCGCTGAATGCTTTCATGGTCGCGGACGTCGAGTTCCAGGGCAGTCACTTGGCGGCCGAGGGCCTGGATCTCTTGCTGGAACTTGACGAGGTCCGCCCGCGTGCGGCTGGTGATCACCAGGTCGGCGCCGGCCGCGGCCAGCGCGCGGCCGAACTCCTGCCCCAGTCCGCGGCTGGCGCCGGTGACTACGGCGGTCTTGCCGGTTAAATCAAACGGGTTGGCTTCCAAGGCTGACTCCGGTGAAGCGGATGGGGGTACGAGAGGATGGACTAATTACTCAGTGGCCGCGGGCCGCAGCCAGCCCGCCCAGCCACCCCCCGATTGCAGCTCAACGGTGAGATCGTCCGCACTCGTCACGGTCTGCGTGGTGTGCTTGAAGTCCATGGCGTTGAGGTCCGAGTTGACCCCGTCGGCCCAAGACTCGAGCACGTGCTCGCCATCGGGCAGGAACGACAAGTCGAGGTCCAGCTCGCGCTTGTCCCAGTTGGTCATGGCGCCGACGAACCAAGCGTCGCCGTTCCGCCGCGCGACAGCGACCACCTCGCCCAACTCGGCGTGCAGGACGCGCGTTTCGTCCCACACGGTGGGCACGGCTGATAAGAACCGCAGGCACTCGGGCTCGCGGCGGTACTGAGTTGGGCTGTCCGCCAGCATCTGCAGCGGGCTCTCGTACACCACGTACATCGCCAGCTGGTGGCACCGCGTGCCAAGGCTCATCGGGCGCTCGTAGATGTCGTGGAAGTACTCGCGGTGAGAGTTGTCCATCGCGCCGGGCGTGTAGTCCATCGGTCCGGCCATCATGCGGATAAACGGCAGCACCACCTCCTGCGGCGGGGTGGCGGTGTCGTTGCTCCACTTGTAGTTTTCCAGACCCGTGACGGCCTCAAACGAGATCACGTTCGGGTAGGCCCGCCGCAGGCCGAACGGCTTGCAGCTGCCGTGGAAATCGACCAGCAGGCGCCGTTCGGCCGCCTCGGCCGCGGTGCGGTGGTAGAACTCGATGAGCGGCTGATCGTCTCGCTGCATGAAGTCGATTTTGACGCCCGCGATGCCGAGCTCTTCAAACCGGTCGAGCACCTCGATCATGTTGGCGTCCAGTTCGTTCCACAACGCCCACAGAATCACGCCCACTCCCTTCGCCTGGGCGTGCTTGGTCAGCTCAACCAGGTCGATCTCGGGGACCGTCTGGGTGAGGTCACCCCTCGTGGACCAGCCCTCGTCCAGGATGATGTACTGCAACCCGGCCTCGGCGGCAAAGTCGATGAAGTGCTTGTAGGTCTCGGTGTTGACGCCCGCACGGAAATCCACGCCTGTGACGTTGATGCCGTTCCACCAGTCCCACGCAACCTTGCCGGGTTTGATCCAGTCGGTGTCGGTTAGCTCGCAGGGGGGCGCCAGCTGGTAGATTAGCTCGTTGGTCAGCAGGTCGGCGTCGGACTCCGCCAGGAACATCACCCGCCACGGGTAGGATCGGTCACCGGTTGTCTTGGCCAGGTAGTCGGCGGCACGCGTCACTATCACGTTGCGGTCACCTCGGGTCTTTGTCTCGAGCGGGTAGGGGGAGAACTTGCCGACCAGCCCCCGGCGGTCCTCTCTGCCCCGCAAGAACATGCCCGGGTAAGACGCCAGGTCCGACTCCGAGAGATAAACCTTAGGGCCGTGGAGCGGTTCGACCACCATGCCTGTCGAGCAGAACCGGTCGGCGCCGATTTCGCCTAGGGGGAGGTGCTTGTAGACCCGCTCCTGGTGGGTCATGAGGCTCTCTTCCTCCGGGAACCAAGTCATCGGGAACCCAGGAAACAGGAATTCCACCAGCTCGTCCTCGACGATGACGTCTCCCGCCAGGTGGGTTACCCAGCGGTACGCGACGCCACGGTCGTAGGCCCGGAAGACGAACGCGTGGTCGCCCGACTCGGCGGTCAGCGTCAGTTGGTTGCAGCGGTGCGGCAGTGACTTGAAGCGGCGTGCGACCACAAAGCTGGTGGTCTCGTCGATTTCTGAGCGGGTCTCGGCAGGGTTGCCCATGCTCTGGGCGAGTGAGTCGCGACCCCGGATCTGCAAATCGATCTGAGATCGGCTCACGACCTCCGCGCCCTTGTAGCTAACCGCGAAGCTGACGCCATCGCCAGCGGTGAGCTGGACCCGCACGTCTCCCGAGGGGGACGCAAGCTCCCAGTCCGTGGCGGCGGCATGGAGGGGTTGCGTCGACAGCAGAAACGCGGTGCAGGCGATGCGACGGCACAGTTGCAGGTTCATGTCGTTCCTGAGGAGCAGGTGCACGTTCTTCAAGATCTGGTTTCCGCCAGTGTAAGCCGACCGCTGCCGCCAGACGAGCCTTCGCTAACGCGGGCGCCGTGATTCTTGGCTCAGGCCATCCGCGGCTCGCAAAAGTTTAGCTGCATCGCGTTTCCAAATCGCCTATCCTACGCGTGCCGAGCTTATTGACTCTTGCCACGCTTCGAGCCAACTCGCTGCGCTTGTCGCGGCGCGCTGTATGACCAATTCCAACCGATATCGTGGCTATGCAGACGGTAAAAAGGAAGTTGTCAGCGCCGGATGGCTGGGCTGGCGCCAGCCATGGAACCGGGCTCGCTCACCTGTGAGTACCTTAACGACCCGCTAGGGATCGACCTACCGTGGCCGCGGCTTAGTTGGCGGATCATTACGCCTGCGAGGTGCTGATCCCACCCGGCATGCAGGCCCGGCTAATGGCCGTCGAGGGACGCACGGTCCTGTTGTCGTCTCTAGTCATACGTAAATAGTCGTACGCGAAGCCTTCTAGGTTAGAATGCAGTTCCTCATGGTCCAAACACCCTCCCCGGGGAGATTGTGAATGCTTCGCTACTCTGCTTTTCTCTTGGTCATCTTCGTCACTGGGGCTGTCCAAGCCTCCGATCCAGACCGCCCGAACATCCTTTGGATATCGGTGGAAGACATCGGTCCCCACCTCGGATGCTACGGTGACCAGGACGCCATAACGCCCACGCTCGACGCGCTCGCCGCGCGTGGCGTCCGCTACGACAACGTGTTCACGACGTGCCCGGTGTGCGCCACCAACCGCTCGTCGATCATCACGGGCATGTACCCCACGTCGATCGGCGCCCAGTACATGCGGTGCAAGTCGAAGCTGCCCGCTGGTGTGCAGTGCTTCCCTGCCTACCTTCGCGAGGCGGGCTACTACTGCACCAATAATGCGAAGACCGACTACAACCTGGTCGACGATGGCAAGCCCTGGAACGAGTCGAGCAAGAAAGCCCACTGGCGGGACCGAGCGGACGGGCAGCCCTTCTTTGCGGTATTCAACCTCACCAACACGCACGAGAGCAAGATCTGGCCACGCGGCCAGCGTCACCGCAAGCAGACGCCCGACCTAACCCCCGATGAGCGGCAGGATCCCGAACAGCTGACGCCTCCGCCCTTCCTCCCCAATACCAAGCAGACCCGCCGCGACTGGGCCAACTACTTAGAGAACATCACCCAGGCGGACTACTACACCGCCAAATTGCTCGCCGAGCTGCGCGAGGACGGCTTGGAGGAGGACACGATCGTGTTCTTCTGGTCCGACCACGGCGCCGGTCTCCCCCGCAATAAACGCTGGCCGTACGACTCGGGCTTGCGGGTCCCGTTTATTGTTCATGTGCCGCCGAAGTTCAGACAGCCGGGGCAGGGCAAAGAGGGTGGCGTCGACGAGCAGCTGATTAGTTTCGTCGACCTCGCGCCCACGGTTCTCAACCTCACCGGCATCGATCGACCGGGCTACCTGCAGGGCACGGCGTTCTTGGGGGCGGACCTCACCGCGCCACGCGAGTACGCCATCAGCACCCGCGACCGCATGGACGAGCGCAACGACTGTATCCGCTCGGTGCGGGACCACCGCTTCCGTTACATCCGCAATTTCATGCCCTGGAAGCCCTACGCGCAGTGGATTAGCTACGGCGAGCGAAACGCGACGATGCAGGAGCTTCGGCGGCTGGACGCCGCCGGGGAGCTGCCGGCGGGGAGTCAACTGTTCATGGCCGACCGCAAGCCCGTCGAGGAGTTGTACGACCTGCAGAACGATCCCCACGAGCTCGTGAATCTGGCAGACCGGCCGTCCGAAGAGAGCCGTGCTGTGCTGCAACGGATGCGGCAGGAGCTTTCGGCTTGGCAGCAGGCCACGGGGGACCTCGGCCTGATCCCGGAGCCGATTGTGCGGCAACGGGAGGCAGCGCTGGGCGACTGCCTCGAGATCCTCAAGCAACCAGGGGCCAAGCGGTCGATGACCCGGATCAGAAAGTTGCTCGCCCCCGACTTAGCCGAACCGGAGCGGGCGGAGATGGCCCGCAACGCGCTCGGAGCCGAGGACCCGACGGTCAGGTACTGGGGCGTGAACGTGCTCGGGGCGTGGCCCGCGGAACTGGATTCGTCGGCCGAGTGGCGCAGCCAGATGACGGCGATGCTTGACGACCCGTCGGGCGTGGTGCGGGTTGCGGCCGCGGCGGCGCTGTGCCGCGCGGAAAGCGAACCGCCGGAGGACGCGGTCCAGACGCTCGTCACCGATCTGGCCGACGAGAACCCCTGGGTGCGGCACCGCGCCGCCGTAGCGCTGGACGAGTACGCGGCAAACATTGAGACCGTCCAGCAGGCCTTGCGCACCGCCCTCGCCGACACTAACGGTTACGTGCAGCGGGTTGCCCAGCGCGCCCTCGACCGCAGCGGAGGCAAGCAGCGCGTCGGCCCGTAAGGTCGGTTCACGCGCGAGGGTGGAATGAGTCGTGCACCTTCTTGAGCCGCGTGTGGTCCACGTGCGTGTAGATCTGCGTGGTCGCGATGCTGGCGTGGCCCAGCATCTCCTGCACCTGCCGCAGGTCGGCGCCACCGCCCACCAGGTGGGTCGCGAAGCTGTGGCGCAGGCTGTGCGGGCTGAGGTCGGACGTGACGCCCGCCACGGCCGCGTACTTCTTGATCAACTCCCAGATCCGCTCCCGCTTGAGCCGTTGCCCGCGGGTCGACAGGAACAGGAACTCCGAGGCGGGCTCACGCCGCTCGACCAGCTTGGGGCGTTCTTTCCGCTGATACTCCAGCACCATCGCGATCGCCTGTTCGCCCAACGGCACGACACGCTGCTTGTCGCCCTTGCCGTGGCAGACGCAGTAGCCGTCGTCCGGGTGGACGTCGCGCTCGCGGAGGTTGGACAGCTCCGACACGCGGGCCCCGGTGGCGTACAGCGTTTCGAGGATCGCCCGGTCGCGGCGCCACAGCGGCTCGCCCCGCACCGGCGCCGACAGCAGTTTGTCGATTTGGGCGGGCGAGAGCACCGTTGGCATCCGCTGCCACAGTTTCTGCGACACCAACAGGTCAGCCTGGTTTTCGTTGAGCAGGCCCTCGAGCTGCAGGTAGCGGAAGAACATCCGCAGCGACGCCACGTGCCGCGCGACGCTGGCCGGCGCCAGGCCCTGCTCGTTCATGTGCCGCGGGTAGTCCGCCAGGTCAGAGACCGTCAAGCTCTCTAGCCGCCGGCCCGCCAGCCAGCCGAAGAACCGCCGCATGTCACGCTGGTAGGCCGACACCGTGTTGGCCGAGAGGTGGCACTCGCTGGCCAGGTAGCGGGTGAACGCCTCGACGAGGCGCGTCGCCTCGTGGGCGGCCGCCTGTCGCTTTGGCTTGATGATCTTCTTACGCGGGGCCATTGCTTTCTCGATCGGCGCCCCGGCGGGACTGCCGAAAACCCCCCTAGGGTCAAAGCCGCCCGGACGGTTATCCTGGTGAGGCCTGTAACGGTTAGCCGAAGCTTGCAGCCAGCCACTCCCGCCGGCCGCCCAGGCTCCCACCTCTCAAGTTAGCGTTGCGCCGCGATATGCAGAACATCATCCTGGAAGAACCCTACGAGTTTGTCCCGCCGATCGAGTCGAAGTTCTGGACATGGGTGCTCCGCTTCTGGCTCCGGCGGTACCTGCGGAAGGTGTTCTCGGTCACGAGCTTCGAGGTCTGCGGCGCCGAGAAGCTGCGGGCGTCGATCGACGAGGGCAAGGGCGTGATCGTCGCTCCCAACCACAGCCGGTTGTCCGACCCGATGGTGCTGGGCATGTTGTCCAAGGAGGCCCGCACGCAGCTGTTCGCGATGGCCAGCTGGCACCTGTTCAAGCAGAACAAGTTCGAACGGTTCCTGATCCGCCGGATGGGCGCCTTCAGCGTGTACCGCGAGGGCAACGACCGCACGGCCGTCAACTTCGCGATCGACATCCTGGTGCAGGGCCGCCGCCCGCTGGTGATGTTCCCCGAGGGCGCCGTGAGCCGCCACTGCGACCTGGTGATGGACCTGATGGACGGCCCCGCCTTTATCGCCCGACAAGCCGCCAAGAAGCGAGAGAAGCAGGGCAAGCCGCCCGTGGTGATCCACCCGGTGGCGATCCGCTACTACTTTGACGGCGACGTCGAGGCAACTATTGGCCCCGACCTGGACGCCCTGGAGCACCGCTTCAGCTGGCAGCCGCAGACGCACCTCACGCTCACCCAGCGGCTCGGCAAGCTGGGCCGTGCGATCCTCTGCGCAAAAGAGATCGAGTACCTCGGCTTCGCCCGCGAGGGAGACCCGCACGAGCGGGCCGACAAACTCATGCAAGAGGTGCTCGACCGGCTGGAAGAAAAGTGGGGCACCGCGGGCAAGGAGAAGGGCGTGGTAGGGCGGGTCAAGGCGCTCCGCACGGTGATCCTGCCCGACATGATCGCGGGGAAAGTCTCGCCCGAAGAACGCGAGGCCCGCTGGCGGGATCTCGCCGAGTGCTACTACCTGCAGCAGCTTGCGCACTACCCCCAAGGCTACATCGGCGGCGGCGCCGACCTGCCCGAGCGGCTGCTCGAGACCACCGAGCGGATGGAAGAGGACTTCACCGACGAGTCCAAGTACCACGGGCCGCTGCACTGCGTCATCAAGGTCGGAGACGCGATCACCGTCGACCCAGTCCGCGACCGCTCCGCCGCGCAGGACCCGGCCATGACCAAGACCCACGAGTCGCTGCAGGGCATGCTGGACGCGATGGTGGAGCAACGCCGGGCTGCGTTGGCGCAGCAGACGGGTTAAGCTACCCGTGCTGGCGATCCACGAAACCAAGCGAACCGCCAAAGACGCCAGGCCAGAGGGTGAACGGGATGTTTGTCGTTCCCGCGTCGTGGTGGTTCGCAACCATTCTGAGGGAACCGAGCGTTGGCAGAGCTATTCGACAAGACCGGCGAGTCGTCGCCCATCACCGCCCTGGGCGAACTAACCAACGGCCAGGAGGCCGACTTCTTCGCACTGTTGGCGGACCGGACGCAGCTCACCACCAAGGACGGCAAGCCCTACTGGCGGGTCACCTTCCGCGACGCCCGCCGCGACGTCAGCTTCCCCGTCTGGAGCGACGCCCCGCTGTTCGCCAAGTGCGACAAGGAGTGGGAGGTCGGGGGCTTCTACAAGCTCCGCGCCCTTTACCACGAGACCTCCTACGGCCCGCAGCTCGACATCCGGTTGATCCGCCCCGTCGAAGAGACCGACAAGGCCGACGGGTTCGACCCGACCATGTGCCAGCCGCGGTCACGGTTCGACTTCGAGGAGATGTTCGCCGACCTCCGCACGATGGCCGAGGAGAAGATCGCCCCGGGGCCGCTGCAGACGCTCACCCTAGGGCTGCTGGACGAGCACCGCGACGAGCTGCTGGTCTGGCCGGCCGCCAGCCGCAACCACCACGCGTTTGCCGGCGGGTACCTGGAGCACGTGCGAAACGTGGCGACCAACGCGGTGATGCTGGCCGAACGGTACGCCGAGATCTACCCGGATATGGACCCGCCGCTGGACGTCGGCATGGTGGCGGCCGGCGCCATCCTGCACGACATCGGCAAACTGCGCGAGCTACGCAACTCGGCGGTAGGGGCCGAGTACACCGCGTCCGGTTCGCTTGTGGGCCACATCCTGCAGGGCCGCGACATGATCCGCGAAGCGGCCGCTGCGATGGAGCGTGACGGCCTAGACCCGCTCGACGCCGAAAGCCTGCTCCGCCTGGAGCACATCATCATCAGCCACCAACGCCTGCCGGAGTGGGGCAGCCCCAAACCCCCCATGACGCTCGAGGCGCTAATCGTCCACTACGCCGACGACACCGACGCCAAGTTCCAGATGATGATGACCATCCTCGCCGAAACGAACGCCGACGCGGCGCTCAGCTCGCGCAGGAATGTGCTGGGGCAGCAGGTGTACCGGGGTGGGGAGTGAACTGTCGCTGTCTATCGGTGTCTAAGTGTCATTCTCGACCGATATCCGTTACTCATTTCAACGATTGCTTCTCACATACTATGTGGCCGTTTTCAAGAAGCAGATCTCAAAAGCCACTCCCTTCCGTTCGATGCGGCGATGTCGTCGCGAATTGGAGCCCCGATTGGGGCTGTTGGGAATTCAGTGCTGAGGGGATCGGCTTTGTCTTGTGCACCAATCCATGCTTCGACACCGCCCTCATAGAAAAGCTCCCGGCTGCTATCAGTTGGGTAATTAGCTTGGAGGAGGAAATCGACGCGGCGATCAAGCCACACCTGGAAGGCTGGTGTGAGTGGGGCGGCGAGAAAGACTTGATTAGCGTCGATGTATCCGATCTCGTAGGGCAGGGCAAAATTGAGGTTGCCTACGCTGAAGATCGTTGGGCAGATCTCGGAGTGAACATAATCATTACCGAGGGCAGAATCACAGGTTCGTACGCTGGGGACTGATCTGACGGGGAGCCGTTGCCAAAATCATTTGAGCTATCAGATTGACCAGTCCACGGCATGATTGACCGACTCTACTGGGATGAAGTGCCCCACGCTGAACAAGGAGCTCGCGAGTCAGGGGTGGGGCCATGGCTCGCCATCTGGCCTTCCCCGGTGGACCACGATGCCTGTTTCGCTAGAGCTGGGTTTCGAGAGTTCGACGACTCCGACGATGCGTGGGACGCGGCTTGGCGATCACTCCTTCACGCCGTTGTCGCGGACCTAGTCTCTCAGTTTGGCCAACCCCACGTCGATACGCCCGTTGAAGCGTGGGCGTCCGGGCCAGTCGGGTTTTGGGGACGCTTAGTTGGCCGGAGGCGAGGCGCACCGCTCGACATGTCGCTCGTCGAACAGCTTGAGCTCGCCAGCACCGACGGTCGCTTCGGCCGCGCGGTCGTGGCCTTTGGCGGCGGATCCCCCGCCAGCCTAGTGACTGGCGGGGGACACGCAAATTATGTGGTTGTTGGCGGAACAGCCGTCGGTGCTTTATCAGTCTGAACGGCAAGCGTGTTTTTTACACGGGTTTGACTTGACCCGCCGGGAAATGGATTGGACGCCGCTGGGGCCGCCGGATTCATCCGCTGCCCGCTAACTCGTCAACCGGCCCTCGAGCTCCGCCACCAGCCGCTCGTACGTCATCCGCTCTTCACTCACCACCAACGCGGCGCCGGCGCGGGACAAGCCCTCGACGTTGCTCTGGTAGCGGCACCGCACCACCACGCTGGCCGCGGCGTTGAGCTGCCGCACCGAACGCACGATGCCCAGCGCGTCGGCGTCGGTGGGCACGCACACCACCACCATGCCGGCGTCCGGCACGTGCGCGGCCCGCAGCACCTCGGTGTGGGTCGCGTCGCCCGCGGCGGTGGCGAAGCCCAGCTGGCTGAACGGGTACAGGTTGACCGGGCTGCGGTCGACCATCGTGACCTCGACGCCGCGGGTCTCGAGGAAGCTGGCCACCTGCTTGCCCACCGGGCCGACGCCGATCACCACCGCCATCTGCGGCCGGGCCAGCTCGGTGCGCGGCGTGTGGGCCGCCTCGTCGGGGCGGCCGTCCGTCCACTTCAGTCCGATCCGCAGCACGATCGGCGTGGCGATCAGCGTCCCCAGCGCCACGGCCGACATGTGCTGGTAAGCCGACCGGCTCAGCACGCCGGCCTCCGCCGCAATGCGGCCCAGGAAGAACGCGAACTCGCCCACGTGCGCCAGCCCCAGCCCCATGCCGATCGCGGCCCGCACCCGCAGGCCGGTGACCGCCATCGCCACGGCGGCCGCCACCAGCTTGAGCCCCGCCAGCCCGATCGCCAGCGGCACGATCCACCCCACGTTGATGTCCTTGTCGAGCAGCAGCCCTAGGCTAATGAAGAACACCGCGGCGAAGGTCTCGCGGAACGGCAGCACCAGCGCGTCCACCTGAGCGCTCCAGCGGTTGCCGCCGAAAAGCAGCCCCGCCGCAAACGCGCCCAGCGCCGCCGGCAGCCCCAATTTGTGAGCGAACAACGCCATCCCCCCCAGCGCGACCACCGCCATCAGCACCACCAAGTCGGGGCTGCGGAACGAAGTGAGCACCGGCGCGAGGTAGCCGCTGATCACGATCCGCGCCAGCAGCACCGCGCCGATAAACGCGATCGAGGCCAGCGTCAGCTCGGCCAGCTCCTTGAAGCCCGGCGCGCCGCCGCCCTGGATCAGCGGCACCAGCAGCAAGAGCGGCACCAGGGCCATGTCCTGGAACAGCAGCACGCCAATCGCCCGCCGCCCGTGCGGCGTGGACGTCTGCCCGAGCTCCCCCAACGCCTTAAACACGATAACCGTTGAGCTGAACGCCATCGCGGCGCCCAGCAGCAGCGACGCCGGCGTCGACATGCCGAACCACAGGCAGGCGGCCGCCACCGGCCCCGCGACCAGCAGCATCTGCAGGCCGCCGCCCACCGGCAGGCGCCACGCGAGCGGCCGCAGCTCGTCGATCGAGAACTCCAGCCCCACGGTGAACAGCAGCAGGAACACGCCCGCCTCGCCGAGGACTTCGATCTCGTGGTTGTCGTCTCGGATCAGCTCGAAGCCCGCGTCGCCCAGCACCAGGCCCGCCAGCAGGTAACCCAGGATGGTCGACACGCCCGCCCGCTGGCACGCGACGTTCGCCACCAGCCCGGTCGTGAGGATCAGCAGCAGGTTGGTGAGGACTTGGTCGGGCATCGTGGGGTGGGCTGGGCGGCGGGGTGGGGCGGGGCTTCGTCGCGGGGGGCGGGCCGCTGTACAATCACGAGAGCCCTCGGATTGTGGATTTCGGCGTGCGGATTATCTAGGGGCACGCAGGGCTCCCCGATCCCGCAGCACGCCGACCCGAAGCGTTCCCAGCACCCGCGGCCCGATTTCATTCACCCCAAGCATAGCTCTCCCACGCATGTCGACGCGACGCGAAAAGATCGAGGCGATGCTCGCCGACGACCCCACCGACACGTTCCTCCGCTACAGCCTGGCCATGGAGCTGGACAAGGAGGGCAACCACACCGCCAGCCTCGCCAAGCTAGCAGAGCTCACCAAGGACGAACCTCCCTACGTGCCGGCGTTCTTTATGGCGGGGCAGCAGCTCACCCGGATTGACCGTGTGAACGAGGCCCGCGCTTTCCTACGCGACGGCATCGAGGCCGCTCGCACGCAAGGCGACGCCCATGCCGCTGGCGAGATGAGCGAATTCCTGGCCAGCCTAGGCGACATGGGCGAGTAGCGTCCCCACGTTGCTTGAGCCGGGCGGACCCGCTGCCTAGAATCAGCGGCCTTGTCTACTCGCGATTCTGCAACTCTGGAGGGTGCGGCTAATGCGTCTTTTCTGCTGCGCAGCGGTGCTGTCCGCGCTGACCCCGGCGGCCTCGCCGGCCGACATTGTGCTGGCTGACTCGACGGCAGAGTTCTCAAATGTGCAGGGGCAGGACAGCTGGCTTTATGGCTACTACAGCGGCCCCTTCACGCCCGACAACTTCCAGCAGATGGCCGAGTACGATGTGGCCCGCGAGCGCTGGCAGGTGGACGGCACGCACCCGTTCCCCTTCTACTGGACCATGCTTGACCGTCAGGGCGGGCACCCCAACGGGCTGACGACCAGCGCGGGGTTCCAGCCGGCCGAGCACTGGCCCGTCCGCCGCTATGAGAGTGAGTCCGCCGGCGCAGTGACCATCGCCGGCGTGGTGGGAGACATCGACGATCGCTTCGGGGGCCAGGGGCTCATCGCTCGGATCTTCGTCGACGGAGTCGAGGTCTACACCCGTCACCTGGGCAACGCCGAGTCGAACGTGCCCTACGAGGTCGACGCGGTGGTCTCCGTTGGCTCGTTTATCGACTTCGCGGTAGACCCCAAAAACTCAAACGACTGGGCCGACCGATTTCTGTTCACCGCCGTGGTGACGACCGTGCCAGAGCCATGGTCGACGGTGCTGCTGGCGGCGGTCGGAGCTCCGATCATGGCGGGGCGGCGTTGCCGAAACTACGCGTCCGGTTCGTAGTTTCGCATCTTGCGGTGGTCGATCCCGGCGTCCTGGTAGACCGGGCCGTAGGCGGTGAATCCGAGCCGCTCGTAGAAGCCGATCGCGGTGACCTGCGCCTCGAGGTAGAGCCGGTCGTGCCCCCCGTCGGACAGCGCGGCGATTGTGTGCGCCAGCAGCCGCCTGCCGATTCCTTGCCCCCGGTAGTCCCGGTGCACCACGAAGCGGGAGATCTTGTGGTGCTCTGGCAGTGGGATCACCCGCAGCGCCGCGACGAGGTCGCCGTTGAGGAGCGTGACGTGGTGCATCACGGTCAGGTCGTGCTCGTCGAACTCAAGCTCCGCGGGCACGTTCTGTTCGTGGATAAACACGTCCCGCCGCAGCTTGTGAGCCAGCCGCGCCAGGTCGGAGGAGGGCGGCGCGGTGGTGATCAGTTCGCTGGGCATTGTGGGTCGTGGGGGTGAAGGTCGGGGATGGGGGGAGCGCCTGACTGCCCGCTGCCCAATCCTAGAGGCACAGCAACGCAGACGGGTTGCCGACGGCCGGATGTCCGCACACGCTCCAGGTCCCGATCGATCAGTCACGAAAATAGGACTCGCCGCGTTGTGCAGTCCGTCAACACGAGAGGCGGCGTTCCCCGGGGTAGGAATTTCCTACCCCGGGGAACGCCGCGAATGCGCGGAGGTTCGGCTAAAATTCAAGTCTACCCACCGCCTGCGGAAGGCGGTCACCAAGCGGCGTTCCGGTCCCCTCGGAAGCCGCTGCCGTCGGACGGCCGCCGCCGCGTTCCAGGCCAAATTCGCAGGATTTTCCCTCGCCTTCGATTGAATTACTGTTAAGAATAGAAGTGGGGACTTACACGACACTTTTAGAATTACGTGAGGTCCAAGCATGGGCGTAGATTTGACTAGTCACGAGCAGCAACTACTTGAACTCCTTGTCAGCGGAGCCTCCAACAAGGTGGCCGCGAAGCAGCTGGGCATCGCGCTACGCACGATGGAGCTGCACCGCCAGAAGCTGATGCTGAAAATGGGCGCCAAGTCGGCCGCCCAGTTGGGCTATGTCTACTGCAACATGAAGCAGAACAGCGCGTCCGGTTCCCATGCGGTGTCCGGCTCCAGCGGGGAGTCCGGCGCCCAAACCGAGTCCGAATCGCTGAGCCAGGCAATGGCCAGTTGAGCCGCGCCTCGATCGCTAGCGGCAGGTTAAGCAAGCAGCAGCGGCGGTTGGTTGAAGGTTTTCTTCGCAGCCGAGTCTATTGCAGCCGGGAAACCTAGGGGCTGCGCGGCTGACGGCAGTCCAGAGAGAAAAGATTGCGGGCGAAGGGTGCGCGCCTTGGCAACGCCGCCGCTCATTCGTTTTCCTCATCGAAGATCGAGCCGGTGTCTAGCTCCCCCTCGTGAGGCTTGCGGTAGCCTCCGCCGATCTGGAGTTGCCGCGCTTCGGCCCAGCTCTGAATCGCTTCCAACAACTCGGAAGCGACGGCCCGCGGGATGGGCTCGCCCGATTCGCGTTCCAATCCGAAATTGAACGCCCAGCTCTGAGAGGCAGCGTCGTTCATGGTCCGAGTTCCAAGCTGTTGAAGGAGGGCGCCGCAGTCGCCTTGTTAGATTGTAGGCCGCGGCGGGCGCCGGGCCGCCGAATCTTTTTGCTGGGCCGCGTCAGCAGGCCGCCTGCACGGGTATGACCAGCAGCGACAGCGCCCAACCGGTGACCACTACGTGTTTCATAGCGCGTGGTCGATCGGGTGGGATCCAGAGGACCCATGTGAGCAGGCAACTGCGATCAGCAGCACGGCAACGTTCATCGTCCAGTAGAGGGCAACGCGGCTTTCTGGAACCCCATCGTTGATGGGGTACTGTGCCCAGCCGAATGACCAGCCTGCAGACAGCTCCGTGACGGAATTAAACCCGGGGAAAAGGGCCAACGCGGCCCAGGCAACGCTGCCTTCATGCGGTTGCGAGGCGGGTTCAATTCTTGTTGGATGGACCACGAGGCGGTTGCTTTAGGTTGCTCGACGCGGTGAAAACGCTGCGTGTGTTCCGGCTCAGGTCGCTGGCGCTGATGGTGTTCTCGGTTATCCGGTTAACGCTGCGTCGGGGGCTTCCGCTACTGCGGAGCGCCCCCGGCACCCGGCGCTGCGGCTTGCCCAGCTTGCCGGATTGGGTTTTCGGGAGGGACAGGTAGGGATCAATAAGGAAGCGAGGAACCCTCTTCGAGTAGACGGAGAAGTCTCTCTTCTTCCTTACTTCTTCTCAGTTCTGTCGCACCGGATTCGAAGTCGGTCAGCACGCGGCCGTTCTTCATGTAGGTCGGCTTCCGAAGTTCCGATATTGCCAATGCAAACCAACTGCGTGACTCCTTGGCCCTACCCAATTCCTCCAGCATCCAACCATAATCTGCCATTGCGAAAGGGTTATGTCGCCGTGTTTCACCGTCTGGTAGGGGGCCAATACGAATTCGATAATACTCTCCTGCTACGGCCTCCAAATCTTGAAACTGGTCCAACCAGGGCACAGCTTGCTCTACGAAGTCTTGATAAACTGGTTCGAAGACCGCACGTAGGTCGTCGTTTGACTTCACTGTATACCACTTTTCTACTCCTGTTCCTTTGTTTCTGAGTTCTCCGAGTCGGCGACTGATCGCCAAAGCTGGGTAATCTCCTTGCATTACTTGCTCAGTTCTTGACCGAAGACATGGGACATCCACGCCGACCGGAACACAAAACTGGGGATAGGCACTATGTAGTGTGAACCCAAAACCATGTTGGATCCGCTCTACAGTTCGAGTAAATGCTCCGGGCTTCGACTCAGTAAACCCCAATGAACCAAACAGCTCAGGGATGTACTTCGAACATGAACGCTGGAAGACAGATTTTTCTAATTTGTATCTCATATGCCCATTACCTCGAACTATGGTCGAGCCGCCTCAACGCTGATCTCGCGAACAAATCCCTCTTGGATGTCAACCAAGGGAAAACGGCAGTAGATCAGGTCTCGAAGCAATGCGGCTGGTTCCGCTTCGGCGGCGACATCAACCACGGCTTCAATGCCAAGATTGAATAGCCGCTGCGGCTCCCGGGCATCTTGAGAGTTGCCGGTCTAGAGTAGCGGCTTTTCGACTGGTCTCATCCCTAAGGCCGGAATACTGAAGACTCGATTTGTCCGATGTTATTTTTTGCACGCACTGGCCACCGCGCAGCTCACGCACGAGTCGCAGCCGCCTTGGCCCTTGGCTTCTTCGGTGCCGCAGCCGGGGCCGCAGCCTTCGGACAGGGTGGTGGCGAAGCGGCCGATTTGGGCTTTGGCCTCGTACGCCTCGGAGAGCTCGGCCGTGAGGGCTTCGACCTCGGGCGGGACGTCGCCCAGGAAGTGGAAGTACAGGCCCTGGCCGTCGAACAGGTGCTCGACGTCCATCAGCACCGCGTCCAGGCCGCGCTCGGCCAGCAGCGCGACGCAGGCGTTGTACGCCTCGCCGCGGCGCTGCTCCAGACGCTCGGCCAGCAGGTTGTCCTGCGTGGTCATCGCCCGCAGCAGCTCGCCGTCGGGCGCGGCGTCGGCGGTGTCGGCCACGCTGAGCACCTCGCCCGATTCCAGCCCGCGGGTGGTGCGGACAATCACCCGTTTGCCGCGGGGGTAGCGTGAGGCGTCGGTCGCGCGGAAGCGGCCAACATCGCCGTGCAGACCAACTCGGACGTAATGATGCATGCGGTGATTCGGGTGAGGGCGGGGGAGAGTCTTCATTGTTACGCGAATCTGCCCGCGGGGCTACGGCGACCGGAGCGTTCGTCGCGGCACAACCTCGCTGGTTTTGCGTAGAAAACGGCCACCTGGGGTGGTATACCGAGGGGTTGAGCAGGGGCCGCGACGGCGCGGCGTCCGTCGGCGAATCGCAAGGGCTCCTTCATCCTCGGTGATCCCCCTCCCACACCTCCTCCATCGACGCGACTGCCTGCTAAGCAAGGGTTTTGTCGTGGTTGCGGTGGGCCGTGCGACAAAACCCCCTTGGGTGCGTGCGGGGTGGTCGCCGCAAACGTTGCGATACAAAGGAGTTGGGGTTTGTCGGCGGGGATGGTCGAAGGGAGTTTTGTCGCGACAAATCGTATCTGCAGTATTGCGACAAAACGACAGAACTCTCGGCCGTGCAGGCCGATACAGCGGGCCTTGTCAGGGGCGGGGCCGGCTCGGGATAATGCCAGGCTACCTCATTTGAACTACGGAGCTGCGATGTCTGAAACGCTTAGTTGCCCCTCTGCGGATGGTTCCTCGACGGCCGGCGCCGCGACAAGCAGCCGCTGGCAGGCCCTGGCCGACCAGGTGCTGGCCGGCGACCCGCTGACCGCCGCTCAGGCGGGTGAGGTGCTGGCGTGCCCGGACGCGGAGCTGTTGAACCTGTTGGACGCGGCGTACCGTGTGCGGCGGCACTACTTTGCGAACCAGGTGCAGCTGTACCTGCTGATGAACGCCAAGAGCGGTCTCTGCCCGGAGGACTGCGGGTACTGCTCGCAGTCCAAGGACAGCGAGGCGGAGATCCCCAAGTACAACATCCTCAGCCGCGACAAGCTGATGGACGGCGCCCGCGTGGCCAAGGAACGCGACGCCCGCACCTACTGCATCGTGATCTCCGCCCGGGGGCCCAACGAGCGTGAAATGAAGGCCGTCGAGACCATCGTGCCGGAGATCAAGGAGAAGTACGGCCTGCACATCTGCGCGTGCCTGGGCCTGCTGACCGACGACCAGGCGCAGCGGCTCAAGGCCTGCGGCGTCGACCGGGTGAACCACAACCTGAACACGGGCGAGGATCACTACGCCAAGATCTGCACGACGCACACCTTCGGCGACCGCGTCGACACGCTCAAGGCGGTCCGCTCGGCCGGCATGGAGATGTGCTCCGGCGGGATCGTGGGCATGGGCGAGTCGAACGAGGACCTGGTGAGCATGGCTATCGAGCTGCGCGAGCTGGGCGTGCACTCGATCCCGGTGAACTTCCTGATCCCGATCGAGGGCGTCGACATGCCTCAC